AAATATCTAAACTTTGAAACACAGATCAAACACATCCCATATAGCACATCTCCTCAAACAGATCCCAAATAGTTTTTCTAGGTTCTGCCTGCATCCTTCTAGGTCTTATAGTATCTTTCAGCCCAAATTATTGCAAAATAACTTTATACAATGTAAACAAAAATCATCAGAATTCAGCTACCCTTTCAGTACACATAAAAGCGAAATACACCACTCTGTTCACTTTAGTTTTTCACACACTTCTGCTTTTGAACCTTGCCTTTGTTTTGAGGCCTGCTCCTACCTGTAGTTTCCTCCACTTCTCACGCTTTGTGGTGCAGAAAATGAGTCCATATAAACTACCCTCAAATTCATACATGTCTGGCAGAAAAAGCAAGTGTATGTTTTGAGAATATGACAAAGATCTGCGGTCAAGGAATGGCACTGCCCTCTGTAAGAAATCCAACCATGACTTTGACGGTCATAAAACCCCATCCATTTCACTTGGAAGGAATCAATCATGACATAAAGACCTATGCCAGCCCATTCCCTTGGGTCTCCACAAACCTTATATTCTTCTTCCAGCTCTACTCATACATACATATACAAGAGAGAAGACTGCATGAAAAACCACCTGGCAAAATCACCTGAATTACACCAGAAGTGTATACATGGCTTAGAAAATCAAAATGTTAAAAAACACATTACACTGAGAAAAGTATTTTTATGTATATAAAGATATTTGTCATCAACTAGCATCTGAATTATACTTATGATTAAGAGCTAAACTGAAGCCTGTTGAAGAAAGAATTCTAACTGATTATACCATATTTAAGGAATATGTTAAAACTCAGCTGTTAGACAAAATTCATGTGATTAAACAAATGTGCAAGTTTATTGTACGCATCGGTATGCAACACTCTCCCAATTTCATTTATAATGAAAGATGATTCAAAATGTTGTTAGCTGAAATTAGGTATATTTATTTGTAGATTGAGAGCATCAAGTTGTACTATGAAATTCACACATAGGAAGAATAGTTTCTCCTTTCCATTATCTGATGATTATTTTTAGGTACTCATGACTGTATTAATAATCTCTACCCTACGTTTTTTAAAAGCAGAACATATACATAACAAGTAATTCATATAAAACAAAGCCAGTCTTGCTTATATGTTTTTATTATTATCAACAAGAAATCCAAGATTAATTTTACTCCATTTCTCAGTAGCATTTACTCATTTACTCAGTTTCTCAGTAGCATTTGTTGCCAAGGATTTAGTTGTTAGAGATCACTGGAATATAATAGTAATAGAGAAACAACCAAACCTAAAAAATTCAAAGATCATGGTTTAACTGGTCTTGGATACTGAATGTATCATCACATACAATATTACCAAATCATAGTTAATTATTTATGTACCTATTAAGAACCAGAAGTGGTTTTTGTTGCTATAAAACACATTTAACACATTTTTACTATGATAAAAATGTCACCCTTTTTCAGAATGAGATCAAACCCATCCAGAAGCTTCTCATTTAAATTACAACATATATTTCCAGAAAAGGGGATTGTAAAAATTTGACTTTATACAGACATACAAAATGAGTCTGGGAATTAACTCTGTACCATAACTAGGAAAAGGTATATAGATAACCTGTGAATGCAAAAAGATTTTTTAAAATTATAATAAAAATGTTGGTTATAATCAAAATCCTGCTTATAGAGACTATGAAATTGAAGTCATCAAATGTGTGTTTATCTGTGGTACTAAAAACATGTGCTTTAGGAAATACTTTCAATATTACAAATCTGCTTTTAAAGGGAACAAAAGAAAAGTTTAAATATTGTAACCTCTACAGTGGCTAAAAGCAAATAGATTGACAAAAAAACTTCATCTCCAGGACATTAGTATCAAACTTTTCCTGAAGTCCATTTTAGTAATCATCATGCATTTAAAACATTTTATATAAATTTGAATAATGTCTTAAATGCACTAGTTTTATGCAGAAAGTTCTGGACAGCAGTATACTGTCTAGAAGTATAAAACTATAGCGATAAAGAATATTCATGAAAGTTCAATTAAAAAAGAAGTTATTCTTTTGCTGATAAGACAGCAGGAACTCTGGCATCGAAAACAAATTTCTGACCTTTAAAAATAAAAAGTTAACATCCTACAGCCTGAGACCTTTACCAGTTCTCTTTGGCAGAGACAAATAGCCAAGAAAAATCATAACACTGTGTATGACACTAAGAATTCTGGTAATCAAAGGAAACTAGCTATAAATCAATTTGTCAAAAGAATTCCTATATTCTTAGATATTCTCCATGGTAATCTCATGGTTTTGTGTTGTTTTGTATAATGTAACTTGAGAGATAAGAAAAGAAAGTATCTTTGATAGGATTAGTTATTAAAACTGATTACTATCTTTGTAGTTAAGAACAGCATAATCAGTGTTCACCAATACTTGCCTAAAGCAGTTCAAATTAGCAAAGTGTCTACATTCCTTGGTAATGGTATCAGCAGAAGTTACAGACCATTATTAATATAAAATTTCAGATCTGAGCAGTTTCATTCTTGGGACTTAAATGAGAAGTAGAAAAAAATGTTCTTGCTCACCATGGAAGAACTTATTAAAAAGTTTAATTAGCACCAACCCTTTAGAACAGGACTTTTTTTTCAGTACTAGAAAATTAACAGAATAGCATAGCATCTGATATAGTTGATTCATCTCTTGCCAAATGTTTCCAGTACAGAAGCTGAAAAATATAATGATTTTAATTAATCTAATGATGGAATGTGATGAGCATTTATTCTTCTTACTGAAGCCAATAGGTGTTACTAAAACCTGGACAGCTTTGAACAGAAACAGTTTCCATACTTACTGATTTTGGTAAGTAAATCTAAGCTACCTACATTTGAAAACATTTGTCTCTGGAAATCTACATGTCTCTAGTGACAGCACACCTTCCATTCCAAAACTTAAGTCTTCATATATCCATGATAAATAGGCTTACTTTGTCTTTATGTAGTGCTGGCAAAGCACATGGTGCTAAGCAATTAAAAAAAAAAAGTGCTAAACCCCTACTAAAATTTCTACCCCAGAGAGTTGAAAGGGCACAAGCTGTAAAGCACAGGAAATGCAAAACACAACACAACACAGACAGAATGACAAGTGGTTGGTATCACTGAAATGCTTTACAAAATAAGTGGATTTTCAGGAGGTTTTTGAAGGAGGATAGTGAAGGATCTTTACGTACGTTAATTGGGAGGCTGTTCCATGTGTAGGAGGCAGCGTGGAAAAAGACACAAAGTTGGGAGTGAGCAAAACAGACAAAAGGGGAATTAAGAGCGATGCTTGGGAAGTGCTGACAGTAAAGGAAATGAGGACCAAGGTTAAGCCAGAACCAAGAGTGCCTTGAACATGGCAAACTTTATGCAAGGGAGGAAAAAATTCCTGGCAAAGGCTTAAGAAGCGAGGAAATATGGGCAATTATACAGGAAAGGAGAAATGACTTGTGCAGCATGTCCCATAGAAAAAAAATAAAAACAGAAGAGAGTTAGAAAGTGGGAGACCAGTTCACATCAAGTACCTCATTGTAACAAACATTTCAGTCTTTAATAATAGAAAATAATTAACTTCACTGAGATTATATCCAATACCCAGCCATATGGGAGGGGTGGCAAGAACATCAAACTGCAATGGTTCTTCTTCTAAAGCTGTTAAATCATGTGAAAAATGACTATGTAGTGTAAAAACCACACAACTAAAGTAAAATCAAATGGAAAAGGTTAGGAAAAAAGATGTTTAAAACACATGGCAATAAATGCAGCAGTAAAATGTGTTTGTTATGACTGTTCCATAAAATGAGTAAACTCATTTAATGCAGAAATCAAGTCTGTCATACAGAGATTTAGCTGATGCACTTCTCTTCATCATCACTACCACCAGTTATGTGAAATACACAAACTCAAAATGTCCACTGAACTTTGATGAACGAAACTTGCAAAATACAAACCTGCTAGCCCATAAGAGAAATAAATTAAATACTTTTCAAACTTTTGAAGGGGAACAAATTACCATGATTTTACACATTCTGAGACAGAAGTGTCTTTTTGAAAGGTCTAAGTTTACTATCTGTCCAATTAAAATCTTGGGTCATTTACAAGCTCAAGAGCCAAGAATGAAGAAATTGAGCAATTTGTCACTAACATTTGTAATAGCAACACCTGTATTACTGAAGCCTTCAAAAGTAATACTGGAATTCATATTACCACTTCCTATCCTTGCCAATATTTCAAAGGAATCATAAACATATTGGTTACACTTCATGTTTGATATCTTTCAGATTTAAACATAAATCCAGGTTCAAGTAACTCACATGTTATCAACAGACGTGGAGCTTGAATATTTTGCAGTTCAAGTCACAATATCATTGATGTCCACCTCTAAAACAGACTAAGCCAAATCCTATCATACTTTGCTAGAAACTTAAAAACAAACATCTAAGTCTCCACTCCTCTTCCATGTAATGAGTGTCCATCAGTAAGCCCAATTAGCTCACTTGTTATTTTATTTCCACTCATACTGTCACAAATTATCTGTTTAAAATATAGATGATGGAATGTTAGTTGCTTGCAGTCACTCTCAGTGAGAGGACTCAAAGCAGTCCTTTTTTTCTTGTGTGTGTACGTGCAAAATGCCAGGGAAAAAAGTATTAAATACATTTCCAAACACAGTTTTAGAAGATCTCAATTTAGGAATGCTTCCTTTAACTCCAATTAAAGCTTGCAGAAGAATCCTTTTCACTTCAAAACCCAATCTGACTCAAAAAAAAAAAATCTATGTGGTCTTTGGCAAGCTTTAAAGTGTAAAAGTAACAGGATTATCAGTTAGACCCTTAATTAGAGAGTAAGAAATTAATGCATCTCTGCCTATATGAAGGCACATCACATATACATCAGTTTGAACAAATTCTTATTACACAATCTCAAATACTCAGGGAAATCTGTACTTACCCACAAATCATGCTCAGCATAATCAAACAGCAGCCAAACCTTTCTGTCACTGTGAGAAAGGAAAACCTTCTGCAATGCAATCACATTTGGGTGCTTCAACTCTCGTAAAAGCTGCAGAGAAACAGAGAAGCTCTTGTTACTTCTGTGCTTGTTAAGAAAAGCAAACACAGCAACAAAATCACCAAACAGGTCAAATAACAAACAAGTAACCCTAAAACAGGCCCTAGAAGGAAAGACACCACAGATTCACCACATTATCTTCCAAACATCAAAATCAGGATATACACAGCCTCTGTGGCATGGGCTGCTGTTCTAACAGCACAGCTGCCCATCACTATCTACCCTTCTCTGTCCCACAACCAGCACAAAGCTGCCCATCCCACCTATTCATCCTGCTTGCCATCAGTACCCTTCTTTAAAGAAGTTATTACACACAAGTATAACTGTTTTCTTATCAAAGGTGAACATCAGTATTTGAGGATGCCAGAATGAAGCTTGGTCCAGTTCTTTGTCAGGACAACACAGGTCTTGATCACCACATAGTTATTTTATAATCAATAATTTTCTTTTGCTTTGGATCCCTACCTCACTTGCCCTAAGGTTCATAGGTTGTTGCTCTCAGAAAACAGGGTGTTTTCAAAGAAAAGTCTGCCAAAATGGGTTTACTACTGGCTGTTTAAACTATTATTCTGTAATCTGGAAATAATCTCATATTTATTTATTGCGTGAAAGAAATTATTGATAGTTATTGAACTTATTGATAGTTATTGCTTGAAAGAAATTATTAATAGTTTTCTTATTGAAAGAAAACTAGGTCTCATCACTAATTAGCATACTAAAGCAGGCACTGCTGCTGAAGTCATCATCCTCTGCCAGATTAAACCAGGTTCAGGAGGAGTTGTGAAGCTGTACTCCCAAAAACAATTTCTATGGAATCACTTTCCCCCTCTCCACACTGTAGTCACCAGAATGATTGATCATTCCTATTTTATCTGGAAATTGCTCACATCTGCAACACTAGTATATACATTGCCAAGAATCAATTCCTAATGGTAAATTGTAAATGGAATATGTTCCAAGGCACATTTGGGAGAAATGAGTCTTCTATCATTTCACCCTACAGAAAAAGTCTCAAGATTATTTTATTTCCCCTAAAATCAATATTTTTAGGAGAAATAAAATACTGATTTAAAATTATATTATCTTTTGACTACACAGATATCTGTCAAGACAAGAAATCTAAAGAATATCATAGCTTAAATGTATTCCAATTTCCCAGCAAATGAAATAATTTTTTTACCATGCAGGAAGTGTTTTCTTATTTTTCTTTCTTTCCCTAACCCTGAGCCTCCTTTTCTGCATGCCAAACAAGCCCAGTTCCCTCAGCAGCTTCTTGTGAGACTTGCTCTTTGTTAATTCTGGCTGTCAAGGCTGCATGCCACAGCAGTCAATGCTTCAGCAGCACAAGAGAAACCAAGGAAATGTTGGCTCTAGGAGTCCAACACACCACATCAAGAATGAGAGCTCTATTCTAGCTATGCTAGAGTTGCAGTGGTGCTCCACCACAACTACAGCAGGCCAAAAATGATAACATAAGGTACAAGGGATGGGCATGAGCCACAAACACAAGCCGTTGGTCAGATTTATGTTAAAAATCATCTCGTCTAGAAATATGCTACTGCAGGAGAGAGGGTGACCACAGGGACTGAAGAGATGAAACTCTTAGGGACATAAAGAGTGGAGATAAGGGAAGTCATTCTAAAAGCGCTGGAAAGATGTGATGAGAAAGGAATATTGGGCAGAACCAAATCCACAGCTGTGGAAATCAAAAGACAGCAAGTTTGAGACAAGTGTTTCAAAGACAAGCATCGATCTAAGGCTGAGACAAAAAGAAACAAGGTACCTCAGAAACTGTATTTTCATTACTGCGGACAGGTGGAAGACAACAATGTGAAAATTTGGGTGACACAGTGAAGCTACTTCTTGGCATCTACCACCTACCCTAACAACTTCTATTAGTGATGCACCTTTATGTGATATGATTGCTATGTCCATGCATCACCATAAACACCTTTGACAAACTTGCATTTCAGCCCTACCTAGAACCACATGGACAACTTCAGGGATGTGGTAAATCATTGTCTGCAGTTTTCCTGCTTTATAAACTTTAAACAAACAGAACAGATCAATGAAACAATACCAATATTACTTTCTTAGGTCTTCTGCAGAAGTAAATCGGTTTGAAGATTTGGCTGGCTAAGTTTGAATTTAGAAGGAAGAAATTACTATATTGTCCTAGTACTTGAAAGACTCCAGTGTACTTGACATCTTCTATTACAAGATAGCAACCGGAACATAAAAGGGCTCTGCAACTACTATAATTTCTTAGTAAATGAACAAAGCATTGTATTGAATAGTACTTTAACCTAATGTTCCTCCAAAATTTAAGTTCCATCATACACAACTTGAGGTAAAATGCTACTAAAAACCTGTGTCTCAGTTATGATACATTCCCTTCTTGTAACAGCGCACAATGCAGTTTAGACAGAAAGACACTCAGAAGGACTTCATAATGAATTATCAACATCTGTGCAACTTTGACTGGCCTGTACAATGGCTTTAATCTAAACAGATTATGATGATTATTATTGAAAGTGTTAACAAGAGAATTGTACATTGTTTATCACCATTCTTAGCTGATTGCACAGCTTAAAGTTTAAAATTATGCTTTTGGATAGCCCAAATAGCATGGAACAGCTTCTAGGATTTCCAAATGGTATCTGCTATATGCAGAATTGCTAGTAACTTCTTCAACTGTCTGATGAATAATAAGTTCTCCATGAGAGAATTTCTGTGAGAACTTCCCTCACAAGTCAATGTCTCTTATAGCAGGGGAAGGTCATAATGTGAAAGTCTCTGATGACTGAAAAAAAGTTAAGTTGGCAACAGTATTGGTATAGAAGCTTGAAGCCTTGGAAATGTAAAATGTCAGTAGTCATGCTGAGGTAGACTTTGCATAGAAAATCCAAGTAAAGAGTAAAGGCTGTCTGGCCAGAGAAGGAGCACAAGAGAGTATACAAGATTAAGCAAGTAAAAGTGGGATATCATAAAACAAACAAAAAAATCTGTTATTTTAACCTACATTTTCAATAATAGTTATGATAACTGACCATGGAATGAACACACTGATAAAAGAAATGCCTTACCCATAAGAAAGTAAAAACTAGCACAAGTCATTTACAAGCAAAACTCAGAGGTGGTATCAGATGATTAGCAAATAGATCACATACATCCAAAAAAGGGGCACAAAGGAGACATTTGGAGACTTGCGAATCCAAAGCATGCCAAAAAAACAATTTTCAAACAATGAACATAAAGAAAAATGTGTGAAAAACAAACTATCCTTTCTTCTCTGATAATTGATTTTCTACTCAAGCAGAAGATCTGAGTTCAAATTTCAACCTTATAATAGTTTCAAGCACTTCATCAGATGGGAAAGATGACAACTGGAATACATCCAAGGTGAGAAAAAAAATACCCTAAAGGGGCAGATCTCAAGGTAAAGTAGCTCTGTGTATTAACTATTTGAAGAGTTACCAAAGAACAAGTATTGTGTTTATTAATAAAACCCATCTCAATATCAACATCATGAGTGTGAATGATCTGAATAAATAAAGGCAGCATTTCCAAGGAAGAAAAGGAATGTGATAATGCATCATCTTTTATGCTACTTTATTCTGTGACTGAGTAAACAAAGAGTAACAGAAACAAGATTAAATCAAAAGCACAAAATCTGAATTCACACACTTAAAAACCAGACTGAAAAGTCATCAGGTGCAAGTAATAAATTGTAGAACTGGATTGCCATAAAACAATGAAGAAAATTGAGATGGCAAATCTGATATTAGATATCCTAGTTGAGGTCCTTACAGGAGAGAATGGAATGTATTTATATCAATACATAAAAGGCTTCTGTGATTTTTTTAAATACTATATGCGGTTTTCTCTGCTCAAACACCTCTCCCTCCACACCCACACAAAAGATGAACTCTCCCAGAAAGAGATAAGGGGGGTCAAAGGAGCAAAACAATCCATCTCTCAATGGGTAATTCTCAATTACTCCAACTTTCTCAACTACTGTAACTGATCAAATATTGAACGAAATAAGATGGATACCCACTAAAACACAAAGATATGAGCATCAATGGTGAAAGAAATCATTACACTAATAAATATGGCTGAAGAACAGAAAGACAGCTAATAAGAGCTAAAATCATCCTGCAAGTTAGCATGTCATTAAGAGGAAGTTTCAGGAATAGCTTCTCAATAGCAGGGAAAACCATATTTCATTTACTTCTTTAGCAACATTGGACAACAAATTTAGTTGATGAATTTGATATAACTCACCAGTAAGATTTCCTAGACAGCATGTGCTCTTGTAGAAGCCTTCATGAAAAATGGGTTTACTGAGGTTTTACTGATCATCTCCAGCACATGGAAAAGATGATTGACAGACAGCAAGCCCTACAGCAATTTGGTTTAAATGCTTGAACTGTGCCTGAAAATCGTCTATCACCATAAAATGCAAATTCCTTTTACAAGAAGTAGACAAGCAACTAGAAAGTCTCTTGATCTTTTGAGCGAGGTAAAATTCTCCCTTTTTCCTCCCAAAGAGACAGACAACTTCTGTGAATGGGAGAAGAGCTGCAGTGTAACCAATATAAACAAAGTGATCAATTTTGAGAGCACTTAGCACATTTAAACACAAGTCAAAAAGTATATTCCTCAAGGAAATCTTGCCCAGAAAAACTTTTATGCCACTGGATGAATAATGCTTTCTAGCTACCACTTGAAAAACGCAGGGTGAGGACAGACACTTCCATCTTGCTGTGAAGGAAACCTAAGAAAAATTAGAGAAAACACAAAGACAAACCAGTGCTGTCACAACTGACACCAGTAAATCTTGCAGCAAACATGCATTTCTGTGTCAGTGATGACAAAACCCATAACCTTAAAAAATTTACTCAGGGGGCAATCTCATCTAAGAGGCGTACCCACCTCTCACATCGTTTACTTCAGTCTTTTGATCTATGTACTTCAACTGATCTGGA